CAACCGATGGTTAGAGATTTTGAATGACATTGCTCAAAATCGTTTACAATGACGCAGGTGCATCCACTCTTTGTGTTCTCCCAAATTCTAATCTTCTGAATTCTTCGTATGACTTTTTTCCTCTTTCCAAATTTATTTCACTGGATTATACTCCTTGAATAACATCTTCAGACCGTGATCTTTCCTATCACTGCTTATACTCTTTCTACCTCTACCACTATGGGATTAGAATCGACAACTGCATCTGTGTGTTAATGTGATATGACAACTTGTACTGATGTACGTACATACGAAGTTCTACGTTGTTACTGACTGACTGACTTAATAAAATAAATAATGAATGGTATTGCAAAAGTTGTTTTAATATTAGGACAAACTAAGTTTAGGACATATAAGGAACGTTTAAGACTTTGTTTGATTAAAGGTTTAAGAGACTTTTTGGATAGACTATAATTTATGAATGAACTAATCAGATTTAAGATAACAGGTCTTGAATTTTGACGCGAAATTCATTTATCCATTCAGCTAAATAGTGTTTCGACATTTTAGTTGATATCAGTTCATGATGAAAAGCATAAATTTAATTATTAACCCCTAACCACCAACTGTAAATCATAATCTTTATTCTTTAAGTTGCTTTATAATCTTCATTTAGCCTTAGAAACTAGGTGAGTATTCTCTGGGTCACTAAGGCGTCGCTCAAAGGTTGTCCATAAATTATAGTCTCATTGACTTAATTTTTGTTCTTAATCATCAGTAAAGACTATTACAAAAACTATGATAAAATCAAATCTATAATCTAATCAGTTTTCGTCTGGTTTCAGTTAACAGCTTTATTCATTATCAAGAGAATCCATTTTTTGAGAACACAGTAATAAGGAATAATAATAAGGAAGTAAATAACTAGTCGGATTATATTGTTTTGACATTACCACGATATTTTGGTCAACTGTTAACAATCAAACTTAAATGGTTACAAATTGTGAGTCACAATTAGACTAAAACCTGACGTAAATGTACATTAATTCAAGCTGACACAGTAGTAGGTTGGGAGTTCGTGCGCAAAACTGAAGGCTCTGGGTTTGAATCCCGTGAGCAGGATTGTGGATGCGCACTGCTGAGGAGTCCCACAACTGGACGAAATGACCGTCCAGTGTTCCCATGTTTTCAATGGTGGTCTAACATCAATCGGTTCATGATCTCAATCAACAACAAAAATGATTAAACATTGTAGAATAAAGTTTAATAATAAGGAATAAATTCAAGCAATAAAATGCATGAATAATATTGAAGCTCAAAACTTATAATATAGTAATGACTGAATGCATTTACTCTAATGACCAATTCTGAATTATGTCACCTAACATCCCCAATTATTGATTACTGATATTATGTGAATTCATTCATTCGAATACTACTTTTTTTAATTAATCCTTACAGAGACGACCTATGAGAACTGTGATAGTCATATACAGATAGGATTGGACTATAATCACACTATATCACGAATTCATTTGTCATTGAAAATATGGACTGTGAGATTCTAATTTCATGATTTTAAAGTGAAATACTCACTGTCATCAAACCAAAGTTTGATCTTGTACCTTGTTCAAGATATTCAAACTCAAATTGAACACTTGTTCAATGCTATTTAATCCGGTTTTTTCAATGAGAGTAAACGTGAAGTTATGAAAGTGATATAACGAAATAAGTTTTTAACTCATTGTGATATTTTGTTGAGTTCGACATTGATTTATTTCACTTTGATGCTTAATCAAGGTAGAATTCATGGTATTAAATCAATATCCAATTCGTAGCTTGGGTATTTATGGTAGTTTTATGTGTTGTTTTTTATGTATTGACTAGTCATTAAGGGTTCCTTTCAAAATTTTCTCTGATCTATTACTGAAGTACAGTCGATTAATCCCCTTGTAACTTATATCCCAAATAATAAGAGAACCAAATTCTAATACACATACAAAATGTTCATTTATAAATTATAAGTAATCATCGTAAATATGTCATTCTAATAATTATTATAACAATTACACAACAAACATTATGAGCAAAGATGGATAGTGGCTAGTAGTGGAATGCAGGACACGCGTTTCGTCCTGTTTGGGACTCGTCAGCTGGCTGTACCTGCATCTCAGAGTTGATGTTCACTCTGGGACTCAAACTCAGTACCGTCAATGGGAAGATTCAAGTTAAACAATACCAAGTGAATTACACAACAAATCTTCAAGGTTTGAGTTTCTGAAACAAGATTCCCAAAATACAGAACCAACAATATCCAAAGTCAAGGTTTTAAATGAACAAGTTCAAAATTTAAACAAATTAAATCTATCCAGAACACAGTGAAGTTAATAATATTCAATAGAACAATTATCAATCAGTTAAATATTCTAAGATCCTCATCTTATGACTTTTGTTTATGTCAATTACTGCATAACAAAATCATCAATCAGAATATTGACTTATATGACATTGCTAAACCAATGATAAGTTAACCAGTACTAACAACTTTGCGTCGACTCTGAATCTTTATTGATCTTCAAAATAGTAACTTCTCTCATAATCTAAACTCTTCAGTTCAGAATATAATCTCAGCTTTCAATGTATGAATCATATAGTTTAGACATATGCACTTTTTATTCAAGCAGACCAGATCACATTATACCATAAAATGAAAAATAACAATTATACATGATCAAGCCAAATGTGGCTGTGATTGTGAGAGACCATAACTAATAGATTGGGAATAGATTAGTAGATCAGTAAATTGTATAATAATAGCCAGTATGTCGAACGAGAGACTATAATGAGTGAAATATGAATATATATAATCTAGTAAATAAATGGTTATATGATAAGAATATCTGAAATAATAGTGCATAAATAATTCCTAGCCGTTACCTTACTTACTTACTTACTTACGCCTGTTACTCCCAATGGAGCATAGACCGCAAACCAGCATTCTCCAACCCACTCTGTCCTGGTCCTTCCTTTCTAGTGCTATCCAATTTTTGTTCTTTGTTATCATGTCTGTCTCCATTTCTCGGCGTAATGTGTTCTTTGGTCTTCCTCTTTTCCTTTGGCCTTGAGGATTCCCTTTGTGTATATTGAGACCTACTGCTGCTGAGGCTGCTGCTACACTGTTCGTCTTCTCCTGCATTTGTTGTTGCGTTTGGGATAGAAGGGCCAGATCATCTGCGAAGTCCAGATCGTCCCACTGCATCCTAGATGTCCATTCTATCCCGTGCTTCCCTTCAGATGTTGAAGTCTTCATGATCCAGTTGATCACCAGAAGAAAGAGAAAGGGTGAGAGTAAGCAACCTTGCCTGACACCGGTCTTTATTTCGAACGACTTTGTCAACTGTCCTCCATGCACGATTTTGCAGTTTAATCCATCATATGAATTCCCTAGCCGTTACCATTTATTGATTATTCATTCGGATATAACACCTATTGTAATATTAAATGGGAATAAAATCAATAGATACTAGTGAGTGTGTAAATTGTGTCATTTGTGAAGCAAAAGAGTAAAGTTTAAATTTGTGTACGTATATATTATTGATTTGAGAAATGTATAGAATAGATTCATTCGCTTGAATTAGTGATTCAAGTTTAATGGATATTCAGGTTTTCTCACCTATTGAAGGTGGAGAAATTTAGTATGATATAAAACACTCCAACTACTTTTGGGACTAACTTTTTATCTCCCGTATCGATTTGATGACTGTTTTAAACTTGTGTTAATTTGATTCAATTATTAATTTATTAAGTCTGATGAAGTAACTTACAGAAGGTCACTAAACGTTAGAAATTTGAATTCCTACTACTTGGGATGTCAGATATATGTCATCATTTTATTATGAACATAAACTGTCCATGGATGTTACGAGAATACAATTATGATAAGATATAAATGAAATGACACAAAATCATCTATATATATTTGGAAACATCACAGATGCCATTTGAAGATATCACAGTCTGAGTGTTCGGAAATGATTGACAATCATATTAGTTACTGAATGATAGTAAGTAGTAATATAACATAATACACAAAAAGGAGAAGAACAAGAAATAAATGAAGGTTTTAAAAAAAGGAAGTAGAATTAAAAATTTCTAAGAGAATTGGAATCAATCTTTCAGTTGTTTGGATCTATTTGAAACTTTTCCTCAATATGGTCAGTTAAAATTTTCCAGTTTAAACTGTGTAATTGTTGACACTGTTGAGGAGTCCCATACCAGGACGAAACGGCCGTCCAGTGCTTCCAGGTTTTCCATGGTGGTCTAGCTTCAATTGACTCATGATTTCAACTTGTGAAATTTATAGAATTTAACAAAGAATGTTTTCAAATAATCCAAATCATTTAATGGTAACATCTATGCCTGTGAAGCTAAGTGTTATAGGTTTTAACTCTACAAATAACATAGCGTTTTTGAATATTGGAAGCACTCTTAAATGACTACCTATTATTACTAAGAAAAAAAGAATGATTCAATCATTTTCATGATGACCTATAAAATTCACTGAATAAATTAATTAACTTGGCCAATGACATTTTATCTGACTCCAATGAACAAATAAACTGAAGCTTTTGGTCAATTGAAGAAATGGGTTAATAAATTAATTAAATTTGTTTTCTTCAAACTGTTCATGATTAGTTAACACTAAAAAAAACTATGTAAACTTATATAGGCTTGATATAATTATGGGCTCACAACTTCCCATTTTTCATATTTAGGATGGAAATTGATCAGTCTGTGTTGCCAGTTTTGCATCACGAATAGACTGACTTGATATAGTTTTAGTTATAAGTTCTATTGTACTTGGTATCTGTCTGATCATAGTTATACTGAATCAGTCCTATCAAGATGCACATATGGCAACAAAAACTGAACACTTACATTCCTGAATTTCGAAAAACAGGAACTAAAAAACCTCAGAGGTTATCACGATTATTCAACTTCGTGATTAATGCGTCAATGGTTTAAGAGATAGGTGCTTGAGTTCCAGATGATGATGATGATGATGACGATGATGATGATGATGATGATGATGATGATGATGATGATGATGATGATGATGATGATGATGATGATGATGATGATGATGATGATGATGATGATGATGATGATGATGATGATGATGATGATGATGATGATGATGATGATGATGATGATGATGATGATGATGATGATGATGATGATGATGATGATGATGATGATGATGATGATGATGATGATGATGATGATGATGATGATGATGATGATGATGATGATGATGATGATGATGATGATGATGATGATGATGATGATGATGATGATGATGATGATGATGATGATGATGATGATGATGATGATGATGATGATGATGATGATGATGATGATGATGATGATGATGATGATGATGATGATGATGATGATGATGATGATGATGATGATGATGATGATGATGATGATGATGATGATGATGATGATGATGATGATGATGATGATGATGATGATGATGATGATGATGATGATGATGATGATGATGATGATGATGATGATGATGATGATGATGATGATGATGATGATGATGATGATGATGATGATGATGATGATGATGATGATGATGATGATGATGATGATGATGATGATGATGATGATGATGATGATGATGATGATGATGATGATGATGATGATGATGAGCATAATAAATCATAATAATTATGATTACTGCATCATAATTATTTCATTTTTATGAAATCATTATATTTACTTGTCAAGTAATTCCTTTGAAAACTATTCGCAGTAAAATACATAATCCCACGCAGTAATAACACAACGTTAAACTTTTTTTCATTTATACGTAAATGTTTTCGGTTACCTAACAAAATTCGGCAAAGGCAATTAATCGTTGTGAATATGCAAATTTTTCTTTAAAAAAAAACGTAAGTAACTTCATTCATTATCATAAACAGTTTCTATCGTTTGACACTGTTTTGGTTTTTTTGTTTCTTTTATGTTGTTATTGTCGTCGTCGTTGTTGTTGTTGTTGAAAAGAAAACGTCACTTAGGTCATTCGCCATGTGTTTGTGTGTATGTGTGAGGGTGAGTATTTGCATAGATGGTTTAACGGTAGTAAGACATTAAAATTACATATTGATATAAAGTCAAACGAAATGTTTGTTAAAAAGTTGTGTTGAAGATAATTATCTTGTTTTGTTTTGTTCAATATTCAATATTCAATAAAATGTATACCATCATACAAAACATCATAAATAGAATAAAATTAATTAAACAGTCTATTACACGGTTTCTCATTAACTGAATACAATATAAAGTTATAAATATTGATATAATTGATAATAAACGTTTATCAGATGCGGTTTGTGGAGATTTTGGAAATTTCACAGATTGAAATCGTGAGTCAATTGAAGCCAGACCACCACGGAAGACCTGGGAGCATTGGGCGGCTGTTTCGTCCTAGTATGGGACTCGTCATGCGTGCGCACCCACGATCCCGCACCTTGCGAGATTCAAACCCAAAACCTATCAGTCTCGCGCGTGAGCACCTAACCATTAGACCACTGGACTGGCCGGCATCCGATGGTGTTAATGTGCGCACTGCCGAGGAGTCCCATACCAGGACGAATCGGCCATCCAGTGCTTCCAGGTTTTCTATGGTGGTTTAGCTTCAATTGACTCATGATTTCAATCTGTGAAATAAACGTTTACTTTGATTTGTGAAGTGTACATAAATGTGGCGAGATTATAATTTATGAATGAACTAATCAGATTTAGGATAACAGGTTTTGAATTTTGATGCGAAATTCATTCACCCATTGAGTTAAATAGCATATTGGCATTTTAGTTGATTTTAGTTTGTGATGGAAAACCTAAAACTAATTCCTAAACACAATCAGTAGGTGTATATTATAATTCTAGTTCATCACACTGGTTTATAACCCTCATTTAGTCCTGGTTAGTAGGTCACTAAAGTCACTAAGGCGTCGATTAAAGATCGTTCACAAATATTAGTCTCACAATAAATGTTCGAAACGTAACTAAAGTTATAACATTGGAAAGAATCAGGGTACAAAGTGTATGAATATACCTATTTAAGACTGATGTGTATTTATACGTTGAGAAGTAATAATTTAGAGGTTATATAAAGGTAATCAAATTAATAATTAATGATTAGGTAACCACTCAACATGATAAAATAAACAAATGTATGAATGGATAGTGGCTAGCAGTGGAATCTAGGATGTGTATTTCGTTAGCTGGATGTACCCGCACCCGAGTTGGTGTCCACCCTGGCACTCAAACCAAATACCGTCCGCTTATGAACGTCATCGCGCTATCCACTTAGCTACTGAATCCTGATAGCCGACCGTCCTAAACATCAATCGAAAGATTTAAGTAAACAATACCAAGTGAATCAATCAGATTATGCAAGAGACGAATATCAAAAAACGAAAGAATAACAAAAATAATAATAAGGTCGAGGGACAGATTTGAAAAAAAAGACTAAAATTAACAATCACCATGACAGAGAAAGGCTAATCAACCCTTCCTTCTGTATAAATAGATCAAGTCGGAAAAATATGAAAGTGATCACCTTAGTAAGATTAATGTGTTATTTTTTGTCTTCTAAATATTTTCAATATATTATAGCCGTTCAGTGCTTCCAGGTTTTCAATGGTGGGGAATTTAAAGCTTTAAATAAAATCCCCAATGAAAATTACACTCTTTTATGCAGTAATCACCCACTTAATGAATGAAAAAAGAATGCTGGATATTGTTTACATATCGAACATTGTGGAGTAGATGCATTACAAATTCACAGATACGTATTCTATCCTATAAAATCAGTACTGTACATTTTAGAAAAAAGAACCCTTGTATTCTACTTTCAATATTATCATCCTATACTAAATCCTTATTATCGATTTTCAATCATCACGATCAAAAATCTACATCATGACCTTGTGGTGTGTTTTCTTCATCTTGATTGATACATATCAGTATAATTTGACATTAACCTTAAATTTAATTAATACTCAACTATTGCTATGTCATAATTCATAGATTTCCTCTATTTCTTTTTCCGAATTCTATTTGTCTTATTATTTTTTTACACAATATCTACCCAATTACGTAATCATGACAGTCAATAATAATAATAATAATAATAATAATAATAATAATAATAATAATAATAATAATAATAATAATAAAGGAATATTAGTTATCAACCATAAATTTATAAACAGTCTGCCATGTGATAAAATGCTAAAATATTTAAACTAAATAACATTTCTGTTGATCAAAATATTAAATATGTAAAGAAGAAAATGAAGAAGAAGAAGAAGAAGAAGAAGAAAAAGGAGAAAGGGGAGAAGAAGAATGAGGAGGAGAAGAAGAGGAAGAAGAAGAAGAAGAAGAAGAAGAAGAAGAAGAAGGGGAAGAAGAAGAAGAAAAAGGGGAAAAAGCGACGCTGATTTATTTTCATCCAGATATTTCTTATCAGTAGGAAATTGATTTATCCTATAAAACATAAATTTAACTTCATAGAAAAATCTATACAATCGGTATTTAGTCACGTGGATTTTTATTAATAATGAAATAATTGAATAATTGAATTCATGAGTTAATTGAAAGTAGACTATCATGGAAAACCTGGAAGAATTAAATGGTCATCTCATTCTAATATGAGACTCCTAAGCAATAATGAAATAGTTCGTGTGTTTTTTTATCGTTGATTAGTACAATTACGAAATGAATAATTTTTTTCTGGTTAGCGTTTTTTTAGGGATTTAGTTTTCTACGGGATGGAGTCGCTAACACCATTCCCGAGCCCCCCTCTTTATCCGGGTTTGGGACCGGCAGTAGCCCCCGGAGGGACTCCAGACGGAGAAGATTTTGAAGTTGTAAAAGCCTTTACAAATCTGGGCAGCATCATTGATGACCACGGTGGATCTGATGTAGATGTGAATGCGCGGATCGGTAAAGCGAGAGCAGTATATTTACAACTGAAGAACATCTGGAACTCAAAACAATTTCCAACCAACACCAAGGTCAGAATTTTCAATACAAATGTCAAAACAGTTCTACTGTATGGGGCGGAAAGCTGGAAAACTACGAAAGCCATCATTCAGAAGATACAAATGTTTATTAATAGCTGTCTACGCAAAATACTTCGGATCCATTGGCCAAACACTACCAGCAACAACCTATTTTAGGAGAGAACGAACTACATCCCAGTCTAGGAAGAAGCACTGGAAGTGGATAGGACAAACATTGAGGAAAGCACCCAACTGCTTCAAAGACAAGCCCTCACATAAAATCCTCAATGCCAAAGGAAAAGAGGAAGACCAAAGAACACATTACGCCGAGAAATGGAGACAGACATGAGAAGAAAGAACAAAAATTGGATAGCACTAGAAATGAAGGCCTAGGACAGAGTGGGTTGGAGAATGCTGGACGGCGGCCTATGCTCCATTGGGAGTAACAGGCGTAATTACGTAAGTACAATTACTAGATTATGTTGTGTGTGTGTTTCTTCTTAAAATTCATTGTGATTTTTATTCATTATTACATCCATTTTTAATCACATCTCAGTCATTACTTGTTACAACCTTTTGAAAGTGAACATGAAATAGGGTGCAGGAGAAATCGTAGTTTGCATGATGCAAGGAAGAAAACAGAGATGTATGACAGATTAAGATTTTATTCACTCTCCATCGACTCACCTGATATATGATGTTCAGTTAATGTGCACTGTAAGCTATGCACATATCCTTTATTTATTAATAATTCATATCAACTTCTGCCAAAGTAGTTGAATATTTTCGGATTAAGGTGAAATCACGAACCAATCTAAGTAAGTCGACCATTAAAAACATGGAATCAGTCCACGGTTGTTTAATTTTAGTATGAGATTTCTCAGTAGTGTATATCTACCACCTCCCAACACGGAATCCAACTTAGAGCCTTCAGTTTCATATGTTAACGTCCGACCAACTGATCACTGACCTGAAATCCAACGGTGTACATGTCTAACTTTAATCAATCCAAGACCATCTTCCGTCGTTTTTGGAGGGTAATTCCCGTACGACCGATTCAAGATAGATAATCATTGACTTGTTCATAGAATTGTACACCGATGGATACCAGCTCAGTGGTCTTGAGTTTAAGCACCTACACGCAAGACTGAAGGTTGGGTGTCGTGGATATGCAATACTGAAGATTCCTGTGCCAGGACGAAACGATCTTCCAATGCTTCCAGGTTTTCAATGGTTGTCTAACTTGCAATTTCAACCAAATTTAACAATTTCTGAAACCGCCATACAGATATATTGAAATTTACCTATTGATTAGATAATTAAATTAAACATATTTTGGTATAGTTCTTGGATTTGCAGTGGAAATTAATAGTTGCGTCTGTTGTGCATTTATTTTATAGTGTTAGCAAACCCTCATCTATAGTCTTGTGTACTACGAGCCCTATCAGTCTTTCTCGAGTTAGACAGAAGCAAATGATCAGTTATTTCCTCAGTTGCATCAAGTAAACGTACCAGCACTTTATCAAGATCCAAGAGATATTCTGTCTCTATTGATCTGCAATAACAATGAAATGATTCTATAAACTTTTCAATTCAAACTAATTTATTTTATTCTCAAATATAGGCGTTGATAATATTTGCCAGTCAAATAGCAGATTTCAAATGATTCATTCACACTCAATTATCCAATGCTAAAATCCTGATTTCATAGTCAAAGAAACTAACTGGCAATATCATTCCTACTTATGTCTAAAAATCTATCCTCCATTAGTAATAGATGGGTCTACTTATGAAGACAGAAAACGTCTCTGAACTCACTTGAATAGATGGTATTGAATATTAAGTAAGTGGCTAATAATATGCAAATCTGTATCGATTGAATTAGATATTAAACTATTTTCCATTTTATTCTGTATAATTACATACATATAGAATCTTTAGCCTAATCTGCAATATGTTTTATTAATTAACTTAAAATTTCATATCCATTTTAATGACTACTTTTAATATAATTAGTATTATATATATCTATAATCTTTTACCGACAAAACATCTGTTAACACGAAACTGAACAATCTGTTTTACATTCGAAGAACAATATGGTATAGATTATTCCGTTTAATGAGTGATATTATTTTTTTGAATTTGTTTTTAATAAAATTAACAACAATATTCATATGGTATTCGTTGCTTGAATCTTCCCATTGATGTTTAGGATTGCAATTGATCAGTTTCCTTTATTGGCATATGTGCATCGTGTGCATATTGACTCGATATTATCTTACTTCACAAACATTATAAACAAAGATGGATAGTGGGTAGCCGTAGAATCCAGTTTGACGAGCATTTCGTCTCATTTGAGACTCGTCAACTGGATGCAACTGTATTCTTGATTTGATGTTCACTCCGGGACTTGAACCCAGTACCACTCACATCAAACGCCATTACGTTATCCACCTAGCTACTGAGACTTGAACGTCACTGGGAAGATTCAAATAAAAATTATCATGTGAATTTAAACTTCACCCCATTGTACGAGCTACCGGTTATCAGGACTCAATAACTAAGTGGATAACGCGGTAACATCTAAAGCGAGCAGTACTGGGTTCAAGTCCCAGAGTGAACATCAACTTTAGGATACAGGTACATCCAGCTGATGAGTCCTAAATAGGACGAAACGCGCATCCTTGTTTCCACTGCTGGCCACCATCAATGATTACTTATAAAAACAATATAGTTTTTCTAAAGCAAATTTTTACATTTATTCCATATTAACCAATAAATTACAATGTAAATAAATTTATTACATTATCTATAACATTTACATTAAAATGTTATGCGTTCAAAAATATACAATTCTGATTGGATAATCCCGTTGAAAAATTAACCAATCAGAAATAAGGAAATTTATATATATATATATATATATATATAAATAAATAAGGATAAATATGTATGATCATATCTTTTGAAGATCCCGAAGGATGTAAACTAAACTGGGAATAATGAATCGAAGTTTTATGATTTGCTGTAGAATTTAGAAAAAGATGTCATTTTTAAAGGTACTTATACTGTTATTGATTTATCTCTAACTATTCTCCACATTTATCTAGTTATTATGTTCAAGTTTCATAAAAATACTGGTATACATAATAATTATTTGTTGTGGATATCTTAAACAAACAATCTTTGCTAAAAACAACAGTTAGTTCACTTTTTTTTTGTATTTGTATTATATAATGTCAATAATAATGTCGATCATTTTGATGTTTGATTATAATTCCATGGAAAAAACTTAGACTAGATTATCAGGCGAAATGTTGAATTTTACATTCTTGCTCATTAATATGTCACATCAACTCGGCGACCAAATACTTTGACACTATTCGATCAAATTTAAACGAAAATTCTTATACATATTGGGTAAAAAGTATACTAGACTGTCAGTCTTCAGTGAACCAGTCGGAAGATAGTAGAATCATAAAGTTTCGCTCGAAACTGAAAGCACAGTTTTAATTAGGAACTAAGTGAAAACTGGCAACATTTGGTTCGTAAAATGACTGCGATCAATAAAAAAACAATATACTATTCAATCAATTAGTAAGTAAGATATGAGGTCTAAGCTAAATCATAAGATGTATCTTTTCCTGATGCAGATTTTAAGTTAAAGTATTTGATGAGATGTGATGCATAATCATAGGTGTTGGTATAGCTAGATAGAATACTCTCATTCTAAGTCCTAACTTTAAATCTCAGCCTAAGTTGTGTTTTTTTAAAGTGCGACAAAGCAATATTACGTTACAGATGCTGTCAGTTCATGATAAAAACCCTATAAGTTTACAAATCTAATTCACAACATAAATCATACTCGTAATATTTAAACATAACTTCTTGACTTGATCATAAAGAATAATTCAATTTGAGAGGGTTAATTAATGATAATAATATTATTATCCTCATATAATTGTATTGCCCATTTTTGTGAAATATTTTATGCCTTAACTCTATTTCTTGATTGGCTTAGACTTTGTTCAAGATCATTAGTATAGTATACTACTATTAAATTTTTCTTTATAAATAATCAATTGTAGTTTGAAAATTGACTTGATCAAAATGTTAACTATCGTTCAAGAAACTAATCAATTGAACTAAATTAGTAACCAGTCAGATATTACTATTAGTGTGGTGTGGGTTACTTATTTCCATATAAGTAGTATATAACGGTAGTCAGGCATAGAATTTATTTCAATAGAAGATCAATAAGGAAAGAATGGAAACAGAACGCAATTGGTATGAAAATGCATGAACAATGAAATCTGAGACAATGGACTGATATTTGCAAAAGGAACAGAGAAGTTTGAGACGATGGATTGATATTTGGCATACTAACTATTTACTAGAGGGTTCTCAGATTTTAGTGAGATGCTCTGTAATTTCATATCGAACATCTTCGATTGTCCCCATTCGTGTTCTTGTTCACTACATTAGATGATTACATTGAGAAAATAATCTAATATACAATTAATAGCAGAAATTGATAGTAAATCATTCATTAAAGTATAAAGTATAAATTAACAAGGTAATAAATTCATCTAAGTCTGATAATTATCTTTAATAAAGTACAAATAATTTTGTGTACTCAACTTTGTTAAAAGTGAATAACATTTACTGAATCATCCATATTTACGTTTTATAATAGATCGTCTTTTAGTTAGTATTGCACTCCAATTTAACTTTTGTAAATAGGTTTTGATTGAGATTATGAATCGATTGATGTTAGACTACAAATGGAAACCTGAAAGTACTACACGACCGTTACATCCTATCATGTTGATTACTAGTATAGGAGTTGTGGAGATTATTAAGTTTTTGATTGAGATCATGAACCAATTGATGTTAGACCATCACAATTGAAAACCTGGAAGCACTGGACGGCCGTTTCGTCCTATTTTGGGACTCCTCAGCAGTGCGCATCCACGATCCCACGAGCGGGATCCGAACCCAGGGCTTTCGGTCTCGCGCACGAACGCTTGACCAACTGGACCACTGATTTAATTGTGAAATAAGAAACTCATAGAAGTTATTTGATAGACTTTAGTGAATATAGACAATAAGTCTATAAACAAATAAATGATTTTGGTACGAAACTTATTTATCTATATGGCTAAGTAGTTAAATAGGGTATATGCTCATGAATTTATGGGATATCTATCCTTCATTGATCAATATGTAGTGTGTGGTATCAAGCATTTTTAAGCATACGAAAGCATCATTTTCACTAAAGATTTCATTTCAAACTCTTACTTTATTTACTTTCTTAATCTGGTAAGTTGAGATTGTGTTATGTCCGGATAAACATAATGAATGGTAACTTTGGGATCCTTTTATGGACCAATACTGAACGTATATTTCTATTGTATAATTATTAAGTAACTAAATTATGCACATTCATATTCCTCTTATTATAAGCTTTATTTTGATCCATAAACTATTATTATACGTTTACCATTCTTGAGTTATACCCAGTATATTAATTACTACCTCCCTCATTCACAGCCACATCTGGCCAATTCTTGTACAAATGTTGTTTCATATTTTATTAATACACTGTAGTCTGCTTGATTGGTACATAAACTCAGTATGTTTGAAATATAAGGATTCATATTACAGAATCTGAGACTGGTGTTCTGGACTTAACTGGCTGGGGTAGGCGGAAAGCAGGACCAATCAGAACTGTAGGCTGCTCGTACGTGTTTTACGCGTCCTTGGTTCAATTGAAAACTCAATGCCCTCTAATCGGCGGTCACAAGTTATAACAGATTGATTACAGTAATGTGTTTTCAGAAGACACATAGATAGATTTAAATAATGAAAATGAAATATCAAGTAAAAACTATGCTTTTATATTCCACAATAGCTAATTAAATCAGCGAAAAAACGGTAGATATTGTACTTTTGTTAAACATTAAGAAAAGGATAGTTAACCTCATACCTAAATAGAACTTTGACATTTTAAATGATGTCAGTTTGTGTTGAAAATCCTAACTCTTAACTCTTAACTCTTATTCCTAACACTAATTTATAACTCTGTTTTGACCATAGTAAGTTGTAAAAGTTTCTCAAAGGCACTATGATATCCCTTAGATGTCATTTATAAATTAGTTTCTTTTCTGTCCGTAACATTTTTCGATTGAAAACAGATGTTTTAAACACAGAGCATTGTATTAAAAAAAATGTAACATTTACAGCAAATAATAAATTTTGTAGTGAATTACGAGTGGATCTCTACTAATTTTTGGTAAGTAATGCAAACATGGGAATCCTACTGCTCATACTGATAATTATGATTGCTCACTAGTGACTAGATTCGTGAGTGAAGTCTCATAGTTCTTGTGAGAAGCCGTGAACACTGCACTTCAATTCGTATCAGGTAGAGAAAGGTATCTACCTCAGTACAATGGAAGATGGTCGCACAATCTGATGGATTGTTTGAAGTTAGACATGAACACTGTTGGATGACGACTCAGTAGTTTAGTGGTTAAATGTTCGTGCGCGAGACGGGCAATCCTGGATTCGTGTCCTTTTGATGTGGTATCGTGGATGGGCACTGCTGAGGAGTCCTATAATAGGATGAAACGGTCGTGTAGTACTTTCAGGTTTCCATTGGTAGTCTAACATCAATCGATTCATAATCTCAATCAATAACTTAATTTCCGCAATCCTATCCTAAAAAAATGTTTTAATACCTTTGTTTATTCTACCTCACTATTACTATGTTTGATAGAATTTTATTATCATATTATTGTGTTTATTAACATCTTGAAAAATATGTATAAATTTACGTTTGTACAGCTTTGTAAATGTGTTCGCTGAAAAGAGAACTCTCCGGTGAACTAATCTTTCT